GTACCCCATCCAGCAGGTATCGAGCGGGGTTTCTCCGCCGTCGGTCGCCTGGTGCAGGTTTCTGGGCCTGCTGGGTTTTGTCGTGTCTCCGTTGGCCCTGTCTGGGGTCTGCCTGCTCCGTTTCTCTGCCTTTGCAGAAGGGAGTTGCTATTTATATGTTGCATGTTGCGGTGGTGCCTGTTGCTGCTGCTGCACGTGTGCATTAGTACCGTGTTTCACGGTGGCGTGTCCTTGTTCCTGTGTCCGGTTGTGGTGTGGCGCTTTGCTGCTGTTTTGTGCCTGGGGATTGCGTGGGGGTTTTCTGTCCCTGCCTGATTGTCCACCCCTGGTTGTTCTCCTGGGGTTTTTGTGCTTCTGCTCTTTCTTCCTGCCTCCTTGGCAGCAGGGGTGTTCTGCGTGTGTTCTTGGGCGTTTTTCAGCCTGTGTCCTGTGATGTGCTTCTTTGTCTCGGTCTATTGCAGTTGTTCGTACCCCTTGGTTCGGGTACTGTTCTGGCGGTGACCCTTCCGCCTTCTTTGGTTTCCTAGCTTGCCCTGCTGTTTTTTTTTTTTTTTTTTTTTGGGGGGTCTTGCGATGTCTCGCGTCAGACCCGTCGTTTCTGAACTCCTGGCGGGCTTGCATGCTTTGGGGAGTTTTTCTGTTCGGCAGGCGTTCCATCTCCTTGTGCCGCCTGGGTTTCGGTGGTGGCGCCCGAGGTCTTCCCACGGCTCCGCCTTTTCTTGGGCTCGGAGGGGCCTTGTCGGGGCTGCTTATGTTCTGCCTCACGGTCTCGCCTCCGGTTGGTGGTCGGGTGGCTTTGTGGTAGGTGTCCCACCTGCGTGCTTCTCTTGGCGGCAGTATGGGGTATTTTGGCGGTCCTTCCTTTTCCTGTCCCTTCTTAGGTGGTTACTCTTGTTAGCTTGGTTTACTCTCGGCTTGGTTTTCTGGTGGGGGTTGGGGGCCGTTGTCTTGCCACATACTGTCGTCTCTTTTCGTGCGGCGCTGGCGAAGCCGCTTCAGCTTGCTTTCGGTCTTGGTGTTGCTTCTGCACCGTTAGTAAGCTGTCTTGTGCGTCGATTCATCTCCGGCCTGTTCGTGCGGCGCTTGCACCATCCTGGTCTCTGGTCAGCGTGCTCTGTCTTCTCCTCGGTTGGTAGTGCCCCTTCGGTTCCGGTGTGTTTTTTCGTCGGCTCTTTCCTTTTGGCCTTTGCCTCTGGGGGTCGAGTCGCTGAGTTTTCTTGCTCCTTCGGTTTTAGCGTTTTGGTTGTTCGGTGGCAGCGGTCTCCATCTTTTCTGGCGCGGGGTGGGGCTGCTGCATTCTGGAGGGGTCCAGGGTTTGTTGGTGCTTCGTTGGTCGGGCCGGGGGTGTGTCGTGTTTTGTGTTCAGTGGCGGCCCTCCGCTGTTGTTTGTGTGCCACGGCGTTTGGGTCCGGAGCGCGTTTTGCGTTGATCCGGTTCTGTTCTTCCCGGTTCGCTGGTGATGGTGTCCCGGGTGGTCAGCCGTTTTCTTGCGGCTAAGCTGCCCGTGTTCTTCCCTCATGCCTGTGGCGTTCGTGGCTTCGCTGCTCTCGCTGCCGTCTGGGCGACGTGGCCTTGCGGTCTTTCGGGCATGGATTTTTGGTGTTCGTGCGGGGGCCTTGCTGCTCGTTGTTCTCGTGTTGTTCCCGGGACTTTTCGGGGCTGTGGCGCCTTGGGTTTGCATTTGCTGCCGGTTGTCTCGCTTCCGTGGGGGGTGTGTGGTGTCTGCCTCCCGGTTCTGTCCCTTTGACCTTCCTCTGTGGGTAGTTAGCTCCGGGGAGCCGACGGGGCTCCCCCCAGAAAACCAGCGTTGAATGTAATGAAACGCCATTTTCTGGGTGAGACCCGGAGGCTCCCCGGCAACCCTCCCTCCCTCCGGTCGGCAGTTTTTCGCGTGTTTTGACATCCAGCCTCAGAACTGATGGGTGGATAGCCGGCATGGGAGGTCTGGGGCTCCCCCTTCCCCCTCCCGGGGAGGGGGGAGCTGGCAGACAGCGGCGCGGTGACGTATGACGTCATACTAGTTTCCTTGTTTTCTGTTGAAGAGTTCTATCCACTAGTTCGGCTTTAGGTAGCAATTTTCACCAGAATAGGGGTTTGTTTTGGAATGCTTACCTTTCTGGATGCTTGACCCGGTCGATGGCAGACATAGAATGCTTCCTACCACACCGGGGTTTCTATAGGCCATTGCTCCCCTTGCCTCTCTGAGGGGGCCAGGTTCTGGCCGTGGTCCCCGGTAGGCCCTAGAACTCCATACACATAACTGATGCCAAAGTCTGACATTAGCATATCAGCCGGTAAAGCTCCGGGGAGCCTCCAGGTCTCACCCAGAAAATGGCGTTTCATTACATTCAACGCAGGTTTTTTCAACACAATTTATACTTTACTCTCAATTACTATTAAATTTAGTCTAAGTGTTTTCCCTCCACACCTTGCCCAAAAGGCTATGCATGTTAGTGGCTTTAGGTATTGTATGTACTAGCTCTATAAATCCAGCAGTATGTTTGTAACTCTGCATCTATGTATGTACTTTTCCTAAATAAAATGTTATTTGTTATTATTTATTATATTTAAAAAAATGACAATAGAATGGATGCTGTACGTTTACCTGAAGACCACTATCTCACTAGTAGGCTTCGATAGGGGGCAGGAAGCCTGCAGCTTTTCAAAGGTCCTCCCATTCTTTTTCAGGATTGTTTCCAAATGGATTGTGAACTAAAGTAATGTCTTGGCATTTACGGTTTCGGTGGGTTGGCAGTTCCATGGATTTATAACCCTGTGGGTGAAAAAGTATATCCTGTTTTCTGTCTTACACTCTTGCTTGTTGAGGTTGAAGTTGTTGCCTCTTGTATGCATTACATTTCCACTTTTAAAGAAGTGGTCTGGATTAATATCCTCCAACTTGTTTAGTATTTTATAGGTCTGAATGAGATCAGCCTTCTCATGTCTGATTTGCAGTGTTGGTAGTCCTGTGGCCTTCAATTGTTCTGGTATGAAAGTTGACTCAATTCTGGGATGAATTTTGTCACTGCTGAACTTTCTCTATGACAGATTCAGTATATCGTTTTGAAGGTGATGTCACTATGCATGGATGCAGTAATTCAGTTAAGGGGTACACAAGATACTTGTACAGTTGAATAACCATTTTCTTTTCTTTTCTTTCAAGTTCCTTTTCCATTTAGTTTTTCAAACTAAATCTGTGTAAACACTCTATGCAAATAAAGGGACCTAGTCTATGGAACTCACTCCCTAACAAATTAAAAAGCTGTCTAACCTATGCCTTATTCAAAAGTAAAACCAAAAAGTACCTAATTTCATCCTCATAGTTTCCTACCTAGTGCTTCAAACTCTCGCCATATCTTGTGCTACCCACTCCCCCAATATATGTGCCTAAGCCACACAACTTCACCATTGTAATCACTGCTATCATCTTATATCATGAGTGTTGCGTTGAATGCAAATTTTACTGCAATATACCTTGAAATTAATCCACAAAATATGCTACAATGTACCTGTTGATAATGCATCAATTTTATTGTAATGTACCTATTTATTTTCTTAAAATTTTCTTACAATACACCTGTTAACATTCTTCAAATTGTTCTACAAATTACCTATTTAAAATTATCTGTTAGATTAAGGACCTGTCCAAAATGCTATGCGAGTTAGTGGCTTTACAAGAATGTAAAATCATCATTGCTATACACTCTCAAAACCCAATGTACCTTCTTGTATATAGTATATAAATAAATGAAAGTCAAAGATTCATGTGACTATTCCTCTGGTTTGGTTTGCTCTTTTACTGTAGCTTCCACTTGTGCAATTTTCCATGATTGGTGACTCATAGAAAATAACTCCTGGGTTATTTTAAAATAACTTAGGATATTTTTATATTAAAATTTTGGTTATATAAAAAATCTAGGTTGAACAAATCCACAAGGGCCGTGACGAGAATTCGAACCTGCGTCTGAGAGCATCCCAGACGCTGCCTTAATCGACTGAGCTTGTGGATTTGTGGATTAAGAGCCCTTGTGGAATTGTTCACTTAATGCCTCACGCAATTGTGATTTCTGTGTGTAAAAACCTAGGTTATTATTAAAATAACTCCTGAGTTATGGCCTACATGAGGTTTTGCATTTTTCAATAGTATTGAAAAGTCATCTGACCATTTGTAAAGTTCTTGTAGACTTCTGTGGGGAGCCCCATCAGCTCCCAGATTCACATTCTTCTTTTAGGTGCCATAAGTTCAAATGACCAAGCAAGGTGGTGTTTTGTGATTCGAATTCCATTTAGTAAGCTAGATATTGGTTCAAGTCTACTAGTGCACAAATGTCTGTACCCATACCTCTTATTGCTACTAATAATTTTATGTTAATGTCCAGCTGGTATCTTGCAATTGAAGCAGAGTACCATGTTAGTTTATGACAGACTGGCAAGTCATTTATTAGTAAGTTCTCTGAGAGTCATTTGGGAGAAGACTGGCTCTAATAGGTGGTGGCTGCTCAGAAGTCCTTTGTGAGTGTTACCTAATATTATTACAAATGAAGGGATATATAATATGGACCATAATATATTTGTGTGTGTGATTATACTAGTGAAATTCTGTTAAATTTGGGTGACGTGTCTCGCTTCATTTAGATACTGGCACAAAGATCTGGTTGGTGCCGAATTAGCAGTCATTTTCTGGTTAATATCTCTATGGATATTACATGTACAGTGTCCATTCAAGTGTTATTAAATAGAAAAAGGTTCCTTCTTTAAAATGATATTATGTTTTAATAAACTTTTTCAATAAACTTTTCAATAAACTGCAATAACTATTTCTCGGTCGTCCATGAATGTCAATAACTTTCTAAGGTTTCTGTATTTTTTTAAAAAGTACTTCAGAATAATGTACATGAGGGTAGTGAATTAATATAATTATAATGAGGGGAATAATTAGGAGAGGTAGATTTATTTATTAACTTTCATATTTGTTATTAAATTACTCTTATAATCAACAGCCGCACTCAATGGCGATCCATCACGTCTGTTGTACCCAACTGACAGCATGGGTCGAGTGTGTGGTAGAGGTGAACTTCAGAACAAAACATTCCTACTCTTTTTTGATCTGACAAGATGTGCCACACCCAAAGTCATTGCTACTGGATGTCCCACACCACAGGTAAAGTGTATAGTACTGTACTTGCAGTGAGTTCACCTTAGATTACCTCAGATTCATAATTACTAACATAAATTATCAATCGGAACAATAGCAAACTCCAGTCCTAGACAGCTTTCTGTCCCCATTATTAAATCTTTTAACATGGTAAATATAAAGGTGCTTCACTTCGTCATGCATACTCTATATCTTTAATAGTCTAAAGTGTAAGACTTATCCTGACCTCACACAGTTAGGATAAAGGGCTGCAACAGAACTTGGCCATTACACAAAAAATGTTCTCAGAGTCTGACACAGCTAAAGCAGAAGTGCCATGTAAATAATCAAGTATTGAATGTAAAGATACAACCCCTCGATACATCAGAATCTTGATCTTTATGAGGAAATGGAAGCTTAGAGATCATAAACAAACCCAAAACTGATAAAATAGTAAGTGGCAAATGTAATGAAATTCCTGTTTCTGGTGAACCACTCTATAGTTCTCCAAAACTACAACACTTGAATAATCAATTCTCCAGACAAAGTAGTGATGTGCTCTGAGTGTCTCATGACATACTCCATCCCACATCCTGGGAACATGCAGTGAGGGGTAGTGGTATGTTGCCACAGACCCTTACCGGGTCACAATGTGGCACAACAGCACATTTCCCCCAAATAATGGCTAAGCAAGACTGCAACTAGAGCTCGCAAGTAAAGCCTTCCTATTCTGGGTGTTGTAGAAGACCCATGCATTATTTAGGAAGAAGCCCCTTGAGAGGAGGAGACTCCAAATAGGTGGTCCTTAACCACCTCAGGAAAGATAACCCTCCTAGAATAACCCTCTAACTCTAATAACTCTAGGATAACCCTCCTAGAAGGCAGGGGCAGGGAATGCCTACCAGTTGAAACCCCTTCAGACTCAACTGGAACAGTTGGTCGTTCTAATGTCCAGAGATCAGCTCAGGAAATGGTTATCCCATTTTTTGCTGGTGAATCCCGCTTATTAGGGTCATGGTTTAGTAAGGTTGAAGCGAAAACAGTCGCACGTTTTTCTGAGCCTACTGATGCCGAATACTTGGCAATTGTACGGTCAGCTGTGAACACAACCAAAGGTGATGCACGTTTTGTTGTTGATGAGAAAGCCATTGTTAGCCTCCAGTCTTGGTCTGAATTTAAGGATTTCTTTTGCCGGAGCTTTGTTAACAAAGGAGACCTTGACCCATATAGGTTACTCAAGAAAATTGCCAATGCCACCATGCAGCCTGGTGAATCGTTTATTGCGTTTATTAGCCATCTTGATCAGTATCTGTATGCCTTAGTGTCTGCTATGATTAGTTCGTCTTGGGTAAATAAAGACAATAATCTATCCCCTTAGGCTATGGCCAAAATGATAGCATTTGGAACTTTAATGCATTTTGCCCCAGAGCATACTAAACCGATCATTGAGCAACAAAATTTTGGAGTTAAACATGAAATTGGTGAAGTGTTTGAGGCTATCAACAGTGCCGCCGATAAACTAGCTCCCCGAAGTGCTCAACTGTTGCCATCCTCTGATACTGTGAATGTAGTAACAAGCTCTCGGCATCCCACAAACTCTCAAAACTCTTGGTCGCAGAACTGTACCCATAGTCGTAGCCCCCAGTCAAATTTTTCCTCCTCATAAGTTGCCGAGATGCCATAGTCCACAACCATCCACTCCCTCATGTTGGCATTGTGGTAAGAGTAACCACCTCGCAAGGGACTGTTGGTCCGCTCCTAGATCATCACCCCCTAGACAATTCTCTCAGTCCCCTCGTCAATCTAATCATTCTAGGCTCCCATATTGCAAGTACCATAAACAAGTTGGTCACCACACTGCAGATTGTAGAGCTAGGCAAAGGACATCCCCACCTCGTAACTTCCACGATCAGTCTTGGCGAGGCGCACAGAGTCCAAGACATATCAGAATTTGCGTAATTACAACTCCCAGCCCAGCTATAATGCAACTTCGAATTATAATATTCGGTAACAGAATTTTGGAGTTCAGAATGTTCACTCCATGTCGTCGGGAAACATCCAAGGCCATCCGCTAACCAATTCAAGCTAGTCAGTCCTAGTGACCTCCCTGTGTATTCAGTAGCTACCCAAAATAGATTTGGACATTTGACAGAGGAAGACACTGACTCTAGCCCAGTTGTAGATGTTGACGGAACCACAGTGAATTTGACCCAGACGAGACGCAGATATCCGAGACAACATAAGTCGCAAGTAGTAACTTGTCCAGTCTCAAGTGATGGTCCCCTAGTCTCAGCCATTGTACATGGTAGAGTTTTAAAAGTTTTTCTTGACTCAGGTGCAAAAATTAATATTGTCAAGCCTTCAGCTCTTAGAGACATTGCAAGTAAGCACCCTACTATAGTAAAAGAGTCACCCATATCTTTTCTAAGTGGTGTTTCAGGAAATAAAGTAAAAGTTCAGGGTGAAATTGACGTCCCACTCAAGTTCAATGATGTCACATTGTGAATAACATGTTTAGTTGTTGACATTATTCATTTTTCTGGAGACATTCTCTTGGGTCTGTACACCATGATTGATGAAAATATTGCATTGTTTCCCCATCGTTGGAACATTAGTATCAAAGACCACATCATACCCTTGTGTAGCATGTATCAACAGGGCCATGAGTTCAACCTTCAATCAGACTATGTTAATTTGGTTGACACCCGCCTTGCTAGCATAGGTTTGTCAGATCCTTGTCGTGGTAGCATACCCGAGAAAACAGGCACTCGATTGAAGCATCTTAGTTGTGCAGTTGTTAAGGAGAGTGAGTATCGGGACTTTCTGGAAGGGGACGCCCTAACGGATTCTCGTTGTCTCGCTCACCTGGCAGCTTCCATCTCTGAAGTCAGTGGTTCCACGGCTACTGACACTGTGCTGCACTCTCATTCTCTCACTAGAATAAGAGTTAAGGTTTAGGGAGTGCCTGAGTTGTCGGATGTGATTGCGGAAAGTGAAACATGTAAAGTGAATGGTACATTTGTTGAACCCTCCTGGCACACAGTGCAGGATGGTACTGTTACATTGTATATTGCAAACACTAGTAATGCCGACATCCATCTCCAGTCTGGCACCCATGTTGTAGATTTTGCCCATTACTCGTTACCGGTGCGAGTTGTGAATGATGTCTCCATGGATCGTACTGTTAGTACTCTCACACCAGGAGAACAGGGATCTCAGCCAGAGGTGCAAGTGCTACACCTCAGTCCTACTGATTTTCCTGACTCTGGGGCTTAGCTTTTGGAAATTTTGAACAGGAATAGAGCCGTTGTTGCTCTACCAGGAGAAAAGATAGGTTTCACTCCTCTTATTACACATAAAATTCCCCTTGAACAAGGAACTACGCCTATTTATGTACCAGCTTACCGTCTTCCCCATTCTCAGAGAGTAGAAGCTGATAGACTCATAGAGGAAATGTTACAGAGTGATGTAATTGAATCGAGTAATTCGCCATGGAACGCTCCATTGATTCTTGTACCAAAGCGAGATGGGACTTGGAGACCTGTAATCGATTATCGGAAGCTTAACAGAGTAACGATACCTGATCGTTTCCCACTTCCAGTCCTAAATGATTTGTTGCAAAGTATTGGTCGAAACAAAGTATTCTCAACGTTAGATTTGTTGCAGGGATTCTGGCAAATCCCCCTTGATGAGGAAAGTAAACAATTGACAGCCTTTAAATGACCCAATGGTCATTTTCATTTCAAAAGAATGCCGTTTGGTTTGCGGAGTAGTCCAATAGGCTCATGACAAATCCATTTCGTAGATTGATAGGAAGTACTCTTCTAGTTTACCTTGATGATCTCATAATAATGTCGCAAGATGTTCAGACTCATTTCCAGAACCTTGAGAAAGTACTTGCAAAGCTCGCAGAAGCTAATTTAAAAATAAAGCTTGCAAAATGTTAATTTTTAAAGAAGAAGATTAATTTCCTAGGTCATACAGTTACACCTTCAGGTATTACATTGAATGAATAAAAAATTATTGCTGCCCGTGATTTTCCAACGCCTCGTACCGCAGAAGCCGTAAGACAGTTCACAGGTCTTGTAGGATTTTATCATTCATTTATTGCTGGATTCTCTATTATAGCTGCTCCACTTTACAAGTTGCAAAGAAAAGATGAACCCTTTGTTTGAGGAGAGGCCCAGGATCAGTCATTCAGAAAACTCAAGGCAGCCTTGATTTTGTCACCTGTCCATAGGTACCCAGATTTTTCTAAACCTTTTACGTTGGTTACAGATGCTAGTGACATAGGTTTAGGTGCTGCATTACTTCAAACAGAAGGTCACAGAGATCACGCAATAGCTTATGCAAGCCATACATTATCTAAAGAAGAGAAAAATTATAGTGCAACAGAACGAGAAGCCTTGGCAGTTGTCTGGGCACTTAAACATTTCAGGGATACAATTTATAATTACCCAGTTCATGTTCTTACAGATCACCAACCATTAATTCCCTTGTTCAAAAATAAGAATCCAGTTGGAAAGTTTGCTAGATATTTGCTCACAATTCAAGAATTCAATCCCACATTTGGATATATTCTAGGAAAGCAAAATGTTCTAGCCAATGCATTTTCTCGACATGTAGCTGCAATTCAGTTAAATTACCCAGCATTAGATGCTACAGTAGTCGAGACGGAACAAAGACAAGACCCCCATATGGGCACCCGTCATTAAATTTTTGACAAAGCAAGATACTCGCTCTATTCATAAACCGCCAGTGCCATTGAAAGAATTAGTGATGTTAGACAATTTACTGTGTAGAATAGTAAAGCTAGGGACAGCCCCGAGGAAATGTTGTCAGTTAGTTGTTCCAGCTGTTTTGGTACCAACAGTGTTAAAAATTATTAATGATGCTCCCGCAAGTGCACATCCAGGATAGGATCGTACACTCCAACAAGGTTGATTGAAGTATTTTTGGCCAAAAATGGCTAAGGAGATTGCTCATTATGTTGACAGATGTTTAACTTGCTTACAGCACAAGGGACA